CCCCTCTCTCATTCCTTGCCCCTCTCTCATTCCTTGCCCCTCTCTCATTCCTTGCCCCTCTCTCATTCCTTGCCTCTCTTTCTCCTTCCTTGCCCTTCTCCCCCCCATTCCATGCTATGTCCCCACTAACTTCAAATATCTAGAGAGCCGTCTAGATAGCCCCGGCCAGACCGCAGTGTCCTCAGCAGATAGCCCCGGCCAGACCGCAGTGTCCTCAGCAGATAGCCCCGGCCAGACCGCAGTGTCCTCAGCAGATAGCCCCGGCCAGACCGCAGTGTCCTCAGCAGATAGCCCCCTTCTATTTCCATTACTTTCGAATACCATGAGCAAGACTTTCACTAGTTTAAAGGGTGAAGCAGGTAGAAGTAGGTAGACCTTCCCTTTAGTGTAGAGGAAGCGGGTAGACTCCTTTAGTGACCCTTTACTAGTGTAAAAGGGAAGTAAATAGACCTTCCCTTTAGTGACCCCTGGTGTTCTGAACACGAAGTCAAGTGTTCGACTCCCCGGGGGTGTCCAACGTTGCAATTTATGAACACTGAGCTAATCATCAGGGGGCCATTTACCAGCATCACGGTGCCTTGATACTAGAGAAGGGTTCTTGATCCAAGCAACAGGAACTACATCTTTTTCCTTAGCTCGAACTCCTTTGCCTAGTGTTGGTTGACTTAGTTGGGGGAGGAGAGGTCTTCATTGACGTTCTCAGTCATCTTAAACCCAGTCACAAGTTCCGTGACCTAGATAGCATCACAAAAACTGACCGACTGTGTCAGGTTCGTCAAGAGTCACAAAGTCCACGTTGCTCTAATCGGCTTTAAATGTATGCAAACCGATTGTATTATGCTTATCTGATAGTGGCAGGTTAAGAAAGGTCAAGATGGCGGCTGACTGGAGTGTGTGTGTACTCAACTATGGTTGCAGGGGTCGAGACGTGTGTGTGTGTGATCGAATCACTGGCATTTAAATGGCCAGAATTTTGTGATGTCTGTAGTTAAGCTGGCTAGTTCACAGCTAGGGATGGTGTAGTCAATTTTGTTTACTTTGAGTCTACCTGGAGGATGTCCCGGGGATCAGCGCCCCCGCAGCCCGGTTCATGACCAGGCCTCCCGGTGAATCAGAACCTAATTAACCAAACCAGGCAAATATAATTCTTACTCCTTTGTTCCTTCATTTTCCCTACTTCCCTTCCCCATTATTCCTCCCTCCTCCCCTTTCTTACACCTATCAGTGTGCGGTTTTTCTTTCTCATTGTATAGATTCCCCCCTGTAGTGGCTGTGTTCCATTTCCTGGCTAAGTCTCTGACTTGGGCCACCAGAATACTCCCTACAGTAGGAACCCCAAGTAAATAGGTTACCATGCTACAGGTACAGTATATAAACTACACGAAGATTAAGAATGTGTCGTCTGTACAACCCCAGTCACGAATAGAGCTCCATAATAAAAATTAGAGCACTGTGTATATTTATACACACAATTAGTGAGGCTCCAGGAGTGTCATACTCACCCAGTCATTATCCTCTATAGATCCGATTTAAAACTGCTTACACATAATTATAAAATTAACACTTGTTAATGTTGTTACATGGGTAATAGGGTTTAAAGTCTATGAGGGTCATTTAAGACATGTCGCCTATTCACCACCAGTCAAAATTTGTATTAATATATATTCTCATTGTATATACTCTGATATAACCTTCTTGCTGTATATATATACCCATAAATTAACCAAAAACCTTAACATTGATGATAATGTCAACGAATATATATTTTTCTTCGCTGTATCCATCTCAGAATTACGTAACATTAACTTTTATTAAGGATACCATTAAATTAGCCCTTTATGTGAGAAACTTGAAAAGTTTAAGGTTAAGTGTGTGGGAATTAGTGGTGAGAGTGGCAGTGTGTGGGCTTGTCAGTTTGTGGCAGTGTGTGGGCTTGTCAGTTTGTGGCAGTGTGTGGGCTTGTCAGTTTGTGGCAGTGTGTGGGCTTGTCGGTTTGTGGCAGTGTGTGGGCTTGTTAGTTTGTGGCAGTGTGTGTGGGCTTGTTAGTTTGTGGCAGTGTGTGGGCTTGTCAGTTTGTGGCAGTGTGTGGGCTTGTTAGTTTGTGGCAGTGTGTGGGCTTGTCGGTTTGTGGCAGTGTGTGGGCTTGTCAGTTTGTGGCAGTGTGTGGGCTTGTCAGTTTGTGGCAGTGTGTGGGCTTGTCAGTTTGTGGCAGTGTGTGGGCTTGTTAGTTTGTGGCAGTGTGTGGGCTTGTTAGTTTGTGGCAGTGTGTGGGCTTGTTAGTTTGTGGCAGTGTGTGGGCTTGTTAGTTTGTGGCAGTGTGTGGGCTTGTCGGTTTGTGGCAGTGTGTGGGCTTGTCAGTTTGTGGCAGTGTGTGGGCTTGTTAGTTTGTGGCAGTGTGTGGGCTTGTCGGTTTGTGGCAGTGTGTGGGCTTGTCAGTTTGTGGCAGTGTGTGGGCTTGTTAGTTTGTGGCAGTGTGTGGGCTTGTCAGTTTGTGGCAGTGTGTGGGCTTGTCAGTTTGTGGCATTGTGTGGGCTTGTCAGTTTGTGGCAGTGTGTGGGCTTGTTAGTTTGTGGCAGTGTGTGGGCTTGTTAGTTTGTGGCAGTGTGTGGGCTTGTCAGTTTGTGGCAGTGTGTGGGCTTGTCGGTTTGTGGCAGTGTGTGGGCTTGTCGGTTTGTGGCAGTGTGTGGGCTTGTCAGTTTGTGGCAGTGTGTGGGCTTGTCAGTTTGTGGCAGTGTGTGGGCTTGTTAGTTTGTGGCAGTGTGTGGGCTTGTCGGTTTGTGGCAGTGTGTGGGCTTGTCAGTTTGTGGCAGTGTGTGGGCTTGTCGGTTTGTGGCAGTGTGTGGGCTTGTCAGTTTGTGGCAGTGTGTGGGCTTGTCAGTTTGTGGCAGTGTGTGGGCTTGTCAGTTTGTGGCAGTGTGTGGGCTTGATGCGTCAGTTTGTGGCAGTGTGTGGGCTTGTTAGTTTGTGGCAGTGTGTGGGCTTGATGCGTCAGTTTGTGGCAGTGTGTGGGCTTGATGCGTCAGTTTGTGGCAGTGTGTGGGCTTGATGCGTCAGTTTGTGGCAGTGTGTGGGCTTGTTAGTTTGTGGCAGTGTGTGGGCTTGTTAGTTTGTGGCAGTGTGTGGGCTTGTCAGTTTGTGGCAGTGTGTGGGCTTGTCGGTTTGTGGCAACAGTGAAAGTGCCGCGACAAGACCAGTTTTCACACCAACGAAGCCAGAATGCCATTGATTCGGACGAGTTGTTTACACAGTGTGTACGTACATCATCTCTTGTATACAAGATTTTGTTCGGATTTTTAGCCCCGGAGGGTTAGCCACCCATGAAAGTCAGTGCGTCATCGAGGGACTTTCTTATTTCCATTAAGGTCCTCACTCTTGTCCCCCCAGGATGCCACCCACACCAGTCGATTAACACCCAGGTACTTGCTAGGTGAACAGGTGTAAGGAAACGCTTCCAATGTTTCCACCCCTGCCGGGAATCGAACCCGGACATCAGCGTGTGAAGAGAGCTTTGCCAGCCAGGTCACGGGGCCTGAACTTGCATTGATAAAGCCACTGGTGGGCGAAACGTCTACACTATACCCAGATGTCACACATGTCTACTTTTCAGTGTGTATGATCGGCCATGCGTTGTATGGAGAGGGGAAGGGGGGGGTGACGTTTCGCACCCCTCCCTCCCCTGTCCTCCCCGTAGTGATCGAAAAGTTACAGGGCTCTCCACGAACGAAACGTTGACAAGACCTTCCTGGGCATGGTGGCATTTCTTGTGCATCTGGAAGTACGGCGGTTCGATTCCCAGCATTCCTCACACAATGGCTAGACCCTTACGGGGGTCAAACATGACCTAGGCAGGAGAGGTCATCAGGCTTGATCCAGAGATCAGACGGGTAGCTCAGATTCCCTGGATCAAGAGCCCTTCGCCAACATCAAGGCTCCCATCCCCCCAGGAAGGAGCCACAATTTTAACACGAGATAAATGCACGGATTCGGACACGTGTCTAAATCTAACTCAAAACGAATTATGAAATCTAAAGTTATGCTGATCTAGTATCAGACATTAAACTAATAAAGCCTAGTATGGGAAACTTCATAAAGCCTAGTTTGAGCTAATCTAATTGCCTAGTTTGTGAGCTAATCTAATTGCCTAGTTTGAGCTAATAGCCTAGTTTGTGAGCTAATGGCCTAGTTTGTGAGCTAATCTAATTGCCTAGTTTGAGCTAATGGCCTAGTTTGTGAGGTAATCTAATTGCCTAGTTTGTAAGCTAATAGCCTAGTTTGTGAGCTAATCTAATAGCCTAGTTTGTAAGCTAATAGCCTAGTTTGTGAGCTAATCTAATAGCCTAGTTTGTGAGCTAATCTAATAGCCTAGTTTGTAAGCTAATAACCTAGTTTGAGCTAATCTAATAGCCTAGTTTGTAAGCTAATAGCCTAGTTTGTGAGCTAATCTAATAGCCTAGTTTGTGAGCTAATCTAATAGCCTAGTTTGTAAGCTAATAGCCTAGTTTGTGAGCTAATCTAATAGCCTAGTTTGTGAGCTAATCTAATAGCCTAGTTTGTGAGCTAATCTAATAGCCTAGTTTGAGCTAATAGCCTTTGTGAGCTAATCTAATTGCCTAGTATGTGAGCTAATCTAATAGCCTAGTATGCGAGTAAACTAGTATACGAGACGCAAGCTAATAGTCTAGCAATGAAAAGGCTCCTAGCTAGTCCTAGTCCAGGTTTCCATTTAAATTTCTGGTGGGGATACAGGTCAGCTTTTCCAGCTATATGGCCCTTTTCATCCATGAAACCAAAAGTAATTTAATGTCCCAAGGCGGTGTAACTTGAGGCCATGAATATGACCTAACGTCCAATGTTGATAATGGTCGCAGAACCGGACAGGACGTCACCTGGGGATAAAGGGTTCGAATCCGTGTCCTATCGGCTGGACGTCCGGACAGTCCTAACAAGTCATCGTAAAAATTGTTTTACAGTCAACCAAGTTCTGTTTTTTTTTTTTACAGACATAACCTGACGGTGGGACAGGTGTCGTTGGTGCTACCGCAGCACGACACCATGAAGACGGTACTGGCGGAGTCGTGTCCGACTCCGCTACCGCCGTCGTCCTGTCCACCGTCCCGATACCGAACCCTGGACGGTACCTGTAACAACCCGGACCAGCCCAGGTGGGGAGCCGCCAGCACCCCGTACCTCAGGCTGCTGCCTGCATGGTACGCTGACGGTAAGTAGGTCACCATTCTTGCCTGTTTCTCGGTACATAAACCCACACATAGAAAAGGGCAAACTTGTGTGACGGCGTTTCGATCCGACTTAGACCATTAACAAGTCGGACCGAAACGTCATCATTCTGTGTGCGAGTTATGTATTGTTCCAGTCATGGTTTTGTGCCTTTTTACTCCTTGTTTACCTATTTAATCAGATTTTGACAGCAGATTTTGTCTGCCAGTTTCCTATTTTCTTTTTTTATATATTCATGGTTAGGTTATATATACTGAAATTCGTTACGCTAATGTCACAATACTTATTTACGTATTTATAATTAACTCTTAATATATAAAGAAGCAATGGCATGCCCTCCCGTAGCTTTTATTATAATTATTATTATTGTTATTGTTTAAAAAAGTGAGGGCGTATCCCCTTCACTGGCGGTGTTGCAAGATGTAAACACCAGTTTTCCAGGCATTCCCAAGACATTATGACCCTTTGGCGCTTACGGCTGCTTCCACGCTTTCATATTTGACAAATTTCACATTTGCAGCCTCTCATGACATGTGTATATATATTTTAGTCTATAAAATCTACAATTAAGTTAGCATTGAATTTTTTTGGAAGAACATCTGGCAACACCGCGCGTGGAAGACTTGAAATCTCTCGTCTAGGAAATAATTTTCGGCTTTTGCAATATATTTCCCCACACAGCATGAGGAAAAAACATGACGCATGAGTTGTGACGTCGCGGCGCATGAGCAATAATTGTTAATGGTGTGAATGTACGCAAATACGCTAATATCTGACGAGTAAAACATTCTTCCAAGAATGAACGAAATTTTCCATTTTGTTTTTTTAGAAATAACTATTACTGAGGGATTTATTTTTTATTAAACGTCAGTTATTAATAGGAGCCGCCTTAAATGGGTCAGCTTCGGTTAGCGTCAAGTAATTACGGTAATTTTCCAAGGCTAATATCGAATAATTGTTCCCATAATTATTCGTTCACTGAGAATCCAGCGCGTCCGTATCCTCTGCCCCGACCTGTAACGCTTGTTAGTTAACGAAACTTTTTACCTTCGTAAAATTATATGCGCCAGCACTTTGCCCTCGTGCTCGTCGTCATTCATTATTATCCTCTGTCAGCCACTGTTGTTGAAGATGCTTCCGCTGTAGCGTTTATTATTTTATATTAAACCGAAGCCGAGGCCGAGAAGACGTAGAAAGTAAATATATTATCCTTGCCGTTGGCTCAGTTTTGTTTTCTATTTTAGCCGTTAATGCAGTTGTTGCCATAAGCTTTACCGTTACTTTAACGTCCTTAATCCCGTTACACGTCAAGACTATACAAAATGATTAAATTTTGTGTTGGAGGCTGGTGATACCCATAACCAGCACAGGCCTGGTCACAGACCGGGCAGCGGGGGCGATGACCCCTCGAAGCCCTCACCAGGTAGACTCCAGGTAGGTAGACGGGAGAGGAGCTTACAACGACGTTTCGGTCCGAGTTGTGACCATTTACAAAGTTATAACCACCTCATATATCAGCCTCACATTATATATCCCCCCTGAGATTATAGTGCTGGCACTCTATAATTTAGAGTGGTGACATAACTGGTGATGACACTGTCACTCTTCTCCAGTCACGACACTTTCCCACGACTGTGATTGTGACTTAACTCTTCACTACCTCCCATAATGTTGTGTTCAGTGACATGTTCAACCTCGCTTGCTTAGCTCCGCCCACCTGCTCCTTTGGACTGACATGACCGGTAGCTTAGGTAGCCCTTATGACGTCACTTGTTTAGCTCCGCCCACCTGCTCCTTTGGGCTGACGTGATTGGTAGCTTAGGTAGCCCTTATGACGTCAATTGTTTAGCTCCGCCCACCTGCTCCTTTGGACTGGCGTGATGGTAGCTTAGGTAGCCCTTATGACGTCACTTAGCTCCGCCCACCTGCTCCTTTGGACTGACGTGACTGGTAGCTTAGGTAGCCCTTATGACGTCACTTGTTTAGCTCCGCCCACCTGCTCCTTTGGACTAACATGATTGGTAGGTGTGGCAGCCTATTAAGTCACTCCTATTCAGTCAGCCACAGAGGGTGAAGACGTAATTTCTTCAAACTAAGAGTAATTTTGAAAGCAACAGTTACCATGTTTTTTTTCTGCATTTTATATCATGTAAGACATAAATTTTCAACATTTTTTTTAGCTAATAAAAATTCCTTCTCCCAGCCTTATTTAAAATAAATCTTCAAATTAGAAGAATGTAACCCAGGCAAGAATCGTAGGTAAAAATATTTTTGTTTTAAAATCTCGTCGCATGAGAAGTGGGAACACGAGCATTGCCTGTTTTGAACAGGAGCAGTGCCTGTTTTGAACAGGAGCAGTGCCTGTTTTGAACAGGAGCAGTGCCTGTTTTGAACAGGAGCAGTGCCTGTTTTGAACAGGAGCAGTGCCTGTTTTGAACAGGAGCAGTGCCTGTTTTGAACAGGAGCAGTGCCTGTTTTGAACAGGAGCAGTGCCTGTTTTTGAACAGGAGCAGTGCCTGTTTTGAACAGGAGCAGTGCCTGTTTTGAACAGGAGCAGTGCCTGTTTTGAACAGGAGCAGTGCTGTTTTGAACAGAGCAGTGCCTGTTTTGAACAGGAGCAGTGCCTGTTTTGAACAGGAGCAGTGCCTGTTTTGAACAGGAGCAGTGCCTGTTTTGAACAGGAGCAGTGCCTGTTTTGAACAGGAGCAGTGCCTGTTTTGAACAGGAGCAGTGCCTGTTTTGAACAGGAGCAGTGCCTGTTTTGAACAGGAGCAGTGCCTGTTTTGAACAGGAGCAGTGCCTGTTTTGAACAGGAGCAGTGCCCGTTTTGAACAGGAGCAGTGCCTGTTTTGAACAGGAGCAGTGCCCGTTTTGAACAGGAGCAGTGCCCGTTTTGAACAGGAGCAGTGGCTGTTTTGAACAGGAACAATACAACGTTAAAGGTAAGTTTAGCAGAGTTTCCCAGCAAAATAACGCACCATCTGGTAATTTTTCGTTACATAACAAGTTTAACATGGGAGAAGCAGCCATGATTGTCGTGGGTATAACACAGGGAAATTGGAGAATAAATTCAAGGTTTCTGAAATCGTGATTGTTAAATTGTCTGGAATGTTTAGAAAGAGGTTAACTAGCTAGCCAAGGTTGGTGTGTTGGCGTGGTCACCCATCCACTTACTGGACAAGCACACCAGTCCTTTACCTGACAGGTAAAGACCTTTATACTTGATAAGCGGATAGCCGTGTGCCTGACAGGTAGCAACATGACCAATGTAGACACCTAGAACATCAATGTAGACACCTAGAACATCAATGTAGACACCTAGAACACCTAGGACACCGTGTGTGTACTCACCTAGTTGTACTCACCTAGTTGAGGTTGCGGGGGTCGAGTCCGAGCTCCTGGCCCCGCCTCTTCACTGATCGCTACTAGGTCACTCTCCCTGAGCCGTGAGCTTTATCGTACCTCTGCTTAAAGCTATGTATGGATCCTGCCTCCACTACATCGCTTCCCAAACTATTCCACTTACTGACTACTCTGTGGCTGAAGAAATACTTCCTAACATCCCTGTGATTCATCTGTGTCTTTAGCTTCCAACTGTGTCCCCTTGTTACTGTGTCCAATCTCTGGAACATCCTGTTTTTGTCCACCTTGTCAATTCCTCTCAGTATTTTGTATGTCGTTATCATGTCCCCCTAATCTCTCCTGTCCTCCAGTGTCGTCAGGTTGATTTCCCTTAACCTCTCCTCGTAGGACATACCTCTTAGCTCTGGGACTAGTCTTGTTGCAAACCTTTGCACTTTCTCTAGTTTCTTTACGTGCTTGGCTAGGTGTGGGTTCCAAACTGGTGCCGCATACTCCAATATGGGCCTAACGTACACGGTGTACAGGGTCCTGAACGATTCCTTATTAAGATGTCGGAATGCTGTTCTGAGGTTTGCTAGGCGCCCATATGCTGCAGCAGTTATTTGGTTGATGTGCGCTTCAGGAGATGTGCCTGGTGTTATACTCACCCCAAGATCTTTTTCCTTGAGTGAGGTGTGTGTGTGTGTGTGTGTGTGTGTGTGTGTGTGTGTGTGTGTGTGTGTGTGTGTGTGTGTGTGTGTGTGTGTGTCAGCGTGCCTCGTTGTGCTCCGGGTTTTCTGGTGTTTTCACGGTCGCTCTTACGTGCTAGAACTTTAATTTGTGTCATCAATCCTATACGATACATCCCTTAGCGCCTGGAACCAATCTTGGGCGGAAAACATTATATACCGAGTCAAAAAAGGAGAATTAGTGTGCACTACCTAGCAGAGTTTACTGCCAGAGGGGAATCATAGGCCTGGGTGCCGTGTGAAAAAAAAAATAATTGAACTTTTCTTGTCAGAGGAAAGAGTCTCCCTGATAACATTGTGTATACATAGTGTATACTACAGTGGCTTCCTAGTATATAGATGATAAAGGCTAAAGTGTCATTTGAAAACAGGTGAATTTGTAAATGAAGTGATAAGCCTATAGAGGCAGGTGCCAGAAGTCGCCAGAAACTTACCACAGGTCAGCTGTTTTTAATAATCTTCCTGGCCTGCTAGTGTACTCGCATATAATCTAGTGATACCAGTGAATAGCAGAATACAGTGTTGTAGTAGCAACTAACCAGTATTATAATGGTACTTAGTGAAGTGGAGTGACTTTCATTAGTTTCTTTTTCTTGAAATACCAGACGTATACTGTGATTTTCATATAACCTGTAGTTACCAGCGGTCGCAATATACACAACCAGAAGCAATTATTACTACAGAAAAAGCATCCTTCCTCTAAAATTTCCACCAGTCAACTATAGACAGGATGGATAATGAGAACCTTCAAAACTAGGGAGGCCAAGCCCATGATGACACTCTTCAGGTCACTTGTTCTATCTAGGCTGGAATATTGCTGCACTCTAACAGCACCTTTCAAGGCAGGTGAAATTGCTGACCTAGAAAATGTACAGAGAACCTTCACGGCGCG